TTTGAGGTCGACACCGGCATGGAACTGGCTGTTCAGCCAGTGGAGAGGAGAGATGAGGAGCTGCCCATAGAAGAAGGCAGAGAAGTTGAAGAGGCTCATGACGAGCCTGTGAGGGAAGAGAGCATTGAGCAAGAAGGAAGATTGGTCGCAGGAGGAGCAATGCCTGGGAGTCTCATGGTCAATGGGATAGAGCTGACCCAGGAGTCAAAGCTGCGTGAACTTCGAGCGGCATGTGGTTTCTATGGCATAAGCACTTCCGGCAGCAAGCTCAAATGCTACCAGAGGTTGGTGAGCTACATCAAGGAGCTTGAGATAAAGGCGGCATCAGCAGCAGTGGCAGCTGCTGAAATGGAGGTTGCAAGGAGGCCGAGAGCGCAACCCTTAGTGAAAGTGCCCTCGGATGAAGAGCAAGCTCTGCATGAACTGACCCACACTCCATATCAGCCTTGGTGTGAGACGTGCTTGATGCATCGAGGACGGCCAGACAGACATCTCCGCACTGGAGCGGCAAGGCTATCTGGCATACCGATTGTCAGCATGGATTTCTGCTATACAAAGGCAGGAGAGATGGACCGTCCAGCACCAATGGCTCTGGAGGAAGATGGGAGAGAGGTGGTAGACCTACAGCAAGAAGAGGAAGCACCACGGGGTCAAGACCTACCTGGAGGAACAGAGATGAGGTTTAAGGAGGTGAAGAATGCCCTCTGGCTGGTGCTGTCTTGCAGCCAGACAGGGTCACTGGCAGCAGTCCCGCTGCAATCGAAGGGCCAGTTGAGTTTGATGTGCAGGGAGACGATGACCTTTATTCAGAATTTGGGCCATACAGAAGTGGGCTTGTATGCAGATAATGAGCCAACAATGAGGGCCCTTTTGCGCATTCTGTTGAACTCCCGCCATGCACTCGGACTTCGGACGAGGATCTATACAACCCGCGTGAAGGATTCAGCAGGCAACTCATTGGCAGAGAATGCAATACAGAGGATCAGAGGATTGGCTGGTACATTGATGGAGTCATTGATGAAGAAGGTTGGATTACGGTTCAACAGCAACCACGCCCTATGGAGTTGGGCGGCGCGGCATGCGGCATGGACCTTGAACAGATACCAGGCCAGTCGAGGAGTCACAAGCTTTGAATTGACCCAAGGAAGGTCGTATGAGTCACCGCTGGTTCCATTCGGGTGCCCAGTGTATGCATACTTGAAGCCTCTCACTGGCAAAGGCAATCCGAGGTGGAGAATGGCCATCTTTCTGGGAAAGACTGAAGGCCAAGATGCATGGGCTGTGGGAGAAGGGCAGAACGTGCTGCTGACCAGATCGGTAAGACGCATTGACAGGCCCTGGTCCAAGTTCATGACATACTTCAGAGATTTCACTGCACACAGTTGTGAGTTCCAAGTCAACTTCGGCGGGCGAATTGTGCCGTCGAAACGCGCGGTGGGACCCATTCCCTTGAATATGAGGAGGAAGAGTCTGCCAGCGGACCCAACTCTCTACCAGGAGTTTGACGAGGAGGCTAAGGCAGTTGAGGATTACGCAAGATCCAAGGAAGGTCAAGAAGAGGCAGAGAAAGAGATCCAGGAGGTCCAGATGATGCTTGGAGCAACGGAGGAGGCAGTTTCGGGTACCTTGGTTGCTGAAGGTGGGGTACCAGCCCCAAGAGCCCCGCAAGTTGATGAGCGAAGCCTAGGATTGCCAACAACTCCAGTTCTTGCGATGAAGCACCCTGGAGGAGAGGGCTCAGAAGGATTCATTCCGATGGAAATTCCCCCCATGCCGTGGGAAGAAGACAAGGGGCCCCAGGAGGAGAGATTCCTGAGGAAGACACCACCGCCACCATCGGCAGTCAAGAGTGAGCCTGAAGCAAAGAAGCCTCGAATGGAAAGCTTCAAGAAGCAAAGAATTGAGGAAGAAGGAGCTACATCATCATCCAGCACGGCAAGGAAGGAGATGGTGGAGCGAAGAGTCGAAGCAGTGAGCCTCGAAGGAGATACTATGTATCATCTTGACGAAGTGATAGACGTGGAAGCCCTGGAAGTGGATGCAGAGCAAGAGGATGTTGAAGATCTGAAGCCAGGAGCGATCCCTGATGCCCTATGGAGTGATGAACCCCTCAACAGGACACCACCTCAACCTTCACCTACCATCGAGCAGCTGGCAGATAAGGTGGAGGAGCAAAGGCTGAAAAGAATGGGGGTGATCGCCGATCTAGAGACGGCAGATATGATGCTGGATAGACTTACCACAAAGTTTGTCAGAGATTGGCGTATCAAGACCTGTGTGAGGGAAGATGGAACAAAGGTGAAGAGATGGCTGAGAAGGTCGCGCCTAGTGGCGAGAGAGTTTGCGAATGACAAGAGAGATGATGTGTACAGCCCTGCGAGTGGAAGCTATTCACTGAGGCTGCTCCCGATGATTTTCCTCACTATGAGAGAAAGGGACCAGGAGATGGATAGCAGCAGTGGAGGAGCAGTGCTGGGCGCATTGGATGTGAAAGATGCCTTTCTGCAGGTTCCCCAAGAACGACCGCTGCAAATCTCCACGAGCATAGGCAAGTACAAGGTGCTGAGAAACCTGCCAGGTCAAAGGGTAGGGGCAAAAGCTTGGTTTGAGCATGTACAAAAGCACCTTATCGAAGACCATGGATTTACCTTTGATGTGATCAATCCCTGCCTCGGAAGATGTGGAGAAGGAGGAGATAGAGTCCATGTATTGATACATGTTGATGATATCATGTTTACTGGACGCAAGAAGGCAGTGGAGAGGTTTGTGGACAGGCTCAAAGCGGAGTTTGAAGTTGAGGTATCAAGAGTGGAAGAGAATGGCCAAGAGTTCTCGTTCCTAAAGCGAACCTACAAGCTCAGTCCAGAAGGTTTGCTGGTGAAACCAGGACAATACGCCGGCAAGATGATTGCGATGTTTGAGGAGACCTTTGGACAAGCAAAGAGACAGAGGATCCCAGCGTCGTCAGACATCCAAGACACAGACAGTTCAAGTCTGGTGGGACACCAAGAAGCAACAGCTTTCAGGTCCATCACCGGAATGGGGATCTATCTAGCTCAGGAACGACTGGATATAGCCTACACCATCAAGGAGCTTGCGAGCAAAATGTCGAGTCCCACAGAGGTGGCAGTGCAGAGGATGCGCAAGCTGGTGGGCTACTTGAAGGAAACAGAACATCAACACATTCTGCTTCCAAATCCGGTCAGAGGAGAAGGCATCAACACCAGAGGAGAGAAAGAATGGTTGTTGGAAACCTTCAGTGATGCAGATTGGTCCGGATGCAAGTCCACAAGGAGATCTACCTCATCAGCGGTGCATGCAGTCAATGGACTGATAGTGTACAGCAGTTCTCGAGGGCAGAAGACGATAAGTCTGAGCTCTGCAGAAAGTGAGCTGAATGCATTGGTTGCAGCAGCTTGCGATGGCATCTGCTTGAAGCACAGCCTGGAGTTCCTCACCCAGGAGGAGGTGGAGCACATTTGTTGGGTAGACAACTCAGCAACCCGACAGATCGCCTGTAAAAGAGGAAGTGGAAAACTACGTCACTTATCTGGAAAACTCCTATGGTGCCAGGATAAAGTTGCTGATGGCAGCATGTCAGTGAAACAGGTCAATACAGCTTTGAACGTGGCTGACATCGGCACAAAACCCCTGTCCCGAGCAAGGCTAGACCTATTGCTGTATTGGCGCAATGCAAGAGCAGGGGATGGGCATCGTATTGGAGAGAGCCAGTATGAGAACTTCAAGGAACAGCACTTCGAGAAAGGCCGCATCATGAAGATGGCAAAATTCCTCAACAGATTGTTGATTGTTGGCGGTCTTGAGCTGGCTGCAGGGGCGAGAGATGAGCAAGTGATTGAAGAAGAAGTTCCCTATATGGGGTGGAGGATCATGCTAGTCTTCATTGCAGTGGCCCTCGTAGCAGCTGGATTCGCATGGATGTGGAAGAAGATCAAGCACTTGGAATGGGCAATGAGGAGGCTGCAGGATGAATTAGATGTCCAGAGAGCGGACTTCTCCAATAGCTTCAATGAGTTGGAGCTTACATGGAGTATGCAGGCAGACTATGCCCAGAGGATTCACCAAGGCTTGGTCTATGTGGACGGCTTCGTGCAGGATGAGTCAGTGAAGCCTGAGGAGTGGAGCAAGTTAAAATTCATGGAGAAGGTCAACAGGAGGCATGATGGCCTGAGGATGAAGAGACAATGGGCATTGGTAGTGCAAGCAAAGGAGGAGCGCGGTGCAGATGGACTACCTCAGCGACCAACGGCAGCGACAAGAGGAGAAGATGAGCCCATGTCATCAGAGGATGGTGTGGATGACAGGGCAGGAGCAGAGCAGCCGTTGCTGTCAGGGGATACAGCAACAGTTGAGCTTGAGGATGGAAGAAGGGTGGAGATTCCGGTTGAGTACCTGGAGCCACAACAGGAGACAGCGGAACCGGAGCCGATCCCAATGTCGGAGACAGAAAATGCTGATGATGAAAACATGAGTGAAGCTGGAACTCAGCCAGAAGGAGTTGAGTGGAATCCAGAGCCAATCGAGCTCCCGGAACAGGACTACAAGTTCCTGAACGAAGTTAGCACACGTACAGAACTCAAAGCTCGTAATGAGCTGACGAGGATAGAGGCGAGTTGGTTCCACTACTCCCGAAAGGAGGATTGGGCCATGGAGCGGAAACTCTATCCTAAAATGGAAGAGTGCTTTAACTTCATGAAGTGAATCGGTCAATGAGCAGAAGCTCAAAGACCGAAGGAGGAGTGCGAATGAAACAGATAAGCACTCATCCATGAGCATACATGTCGTACACCAAAGGTGTTACATGAAGGCCGCCATTTCAGCTTGGCAAAAGGATCCGCACTATTTGATGCTGGCCATCCATTCCTGGTAGCAGTGACACCACATTTCTTGGCACATAGTAGCGTCCTTGCTCCTAGCAGTAAGGCCAGGAGCCCCTAGTAGCGTCCTTGCTTCCAGTAGTAAGGCCAGGAGCCCCTAAGGTGATGCTGAGAAGTTCTTGGCCCTGAAGTGGCTCCACCGGATTCTGATGTACTTGCACTTGCATTATGACATGGAGATGCCCGAAAGGACGTCAGACTGGATGAAAAAAGAACAGCGGGAAGGAAAGAAAGCGAAAGCGAAAGCGAAGAACTACGAAAGAGGCCTTCTTTGTAGCAAGGGGTCATTAAAAGTCCATGATGCAAGGCAGTCATAGCAATGTTGTTTTGAGTTCTACTTGTGCTGGTAGGTTGGAGGCCATCGCTACTAGGGTGGAGGCCATCGCTAGTAGGTTTTGAGTTGTACTTGAGGACTCCGCAAAATGGCTTGAGAGCCACGGAGATGGAGAATGCATGGCCGGACTTGCGTCGTTGCGACTGCCCTGAGCCTTGATTTGACACTCCTCAAATTCCACAACGCCTCCAAGATGAAGCATTCTCACGTTCACATGTTCGAGAGTCTAGGTTCGAAAGTGAACCAGAAAGAGCTGAACTTGTTTATTTAACATTGCTTCAGTTGGGGACTCAGGAGTGCAGGCCAGCACCACACTACGAAGACATCGATGATCTCAATCTTCAGGATTACCAGGCTGGGTTCAACGGATGGACCAAGAGAAGTCGCCCAGGTGCGTCAGAGCATTCCAGACCTTAGAAGTAGCAAAAGGAGATGTTACATGGGGTGCAAGGCAGGTGAAGGCACCAAAGTCTTTGGATTGGATTATTGGATGTTCTTGGTCATAGGTGTCAGTAGAGTTATGAGTCGTATGAGTATGATGAGTATGATGAGTATCAGTTGTTCTTGTTCGGAGGTGAAGAAGGGACGGAATCAGAAGTGGGAGACGAATGCTCGGGAGAAGGATGCTTGGCTTAGAACATCGGAGTGTTGGATTCAGTTGCAATGGCCTTCAACCTACTCCTAGTAGCGTCCTTGCTCCTAGTAGCAATGCCCTTTGCTCTTAGTAGCGTCCTTGCTCCTAGTAGTAAGGCCAGGAGCCCCTAGTAGCTTCTTGCTCCTACTAGCCATGGCCCACAGATATCGTAGCAGCTCGTGTCAGCTCGCACGTCCCCGACTTGGGAGGCAAAAAGGACTCGACGCCTGAATTTACGGGCGCCAGTCGATGGCAGCGCCTGGGCAAGTTTCAAGCACTGCCAGAAAAAATCTGCAAAAACCTGGGCCGAGCCCGAGACATGCCAGTCTGTTTGGGGCTCAAAAAAGAGCTTCCTGAGGGGCCTTTGACCTGGAGCGTGGACGAAAGTTACCCGCCACCTGTCTATAGCATCGGGGCTTGCTGGGTCAGGGTTTCTGGGTAGTCTGCTGCCAGGAAACCTGCAGCTTGCTACTGGTATTGCTATGACATAGGCCATAGGAGTGAGTGCAAATGGCTGCATCTTCTCAGGTCACCGACATGAATCCATGGGCTCGGCTAAGGTACTGTTCTCCAAGCCGAAATCGCGGAAGCATGAGACGTCCTTCTTGAAGCAGGACTGAAATGAACATAATTCAGAAGTGAGTTAATTCCACACCAAAGGACCAAACCCATCACAAGACCAATGCTTTTGAGCCGTGCCTTGTTTTCAGGATCTGAGAGATCTCCACGACTTTCAAGGGCACGTGCGGACGACATACCGTTCTGATCCAACAGCACCTCCGGAGGAGGATGACATTTGGGTGGAGATAAAGTACAAAATCGTCAGCACCCCATGTGAAGAAAGTGGCTTTGATGACCACTACGAGGTTCGTGGCTTTCGCATGTTCAAAAGTGGTATTGCAGTCTGAAACCTGTGGCACGACACTTGTTTGAGGTCGGGACTGGCTTTTTTTAGAGAACTCTGTCGCAGGCTTGCAAGGGCCGCAATCGCAAGTATGATACGGATGCTTGGCTTGAGACGTACGTACTCGCTTTGTGCCGCTGGAAACTGCTCAAGTCTTGGATTTTGGACTAATCTGCTGATGTTAAAGCAGGAAACAATCATGCCTGCTTTTGAATTCTGTCCTTTTCTTGTTTCTTAATCAAAAGTGATTTGGTCTTATGCCTTGAAGGGTGGTCTCGGTCTTCAGTTCACCATACGTGCACACCCTAAAGACGTAATCAACGCGAACCGCAAACCCCATCAACGGTCTCACTGCCGTGGAGTTGCCAAGGCAAGAAGGAACCATCGCAGATATCGGCGCACACCAGTCGCTTTCCGTGCTTTGGAAGAGCTATCCTTGGGAAGAGGAGGGCTCCCTTTTGCAACTTCAGAAACTGCACTTGATATCCTTTTGCTGTCACAAAAAGAAGCTACTAGGAACAAAGGGCATCGCCACCAGGAGCAAGGACGCTACTAGGGGCTCCTCGCATCGCTACTAGTAACAAGAAGCTACTAGGATATCAAGTGCATTATGTTCACATTTTGTCTGAAACACTTGCGGTGTAACTTTCGCAACAAGCCAGTGGGCCACGGGATTCTTCCACAGAATGTAGAACTTAACAACCGCAATAACCCATTCGGCCGGCATTCTGAAGCCTTTTTGGTAGCCTTATGGCCATTCCTATTAGCGGCCTTGAGTCACATCGATTCTTCCTGTTGCATGTACACTCTGGAAACACACTCTGACATTGGTTTTCAGTTAACTCAATTGCCACGGTGGGAAGGAAGGTGAAGAACGGTAAGGTGAAGAGTCCGCAAAACTTGTAGATGTTTGAACAAACTGTTTTGAAGTCTGCAGAAATCACTAAACGCACGGTGCAGCTGCAGAAACGCGGTGGAAAAGGTTTGGGGGTGGTATCATGAAACACCATGGAAACAAAAAGCGAGAGTGGACAGCTTGTCAACAGTTGAAAAGGCAGGTACGTAGTTCTGGCGTCCCAGAACTATATCACTGTGCGACAGATGTGTCTTCGTTGGCTGGAGACATCTGAAGCACACTCCAGCCCCCTGCGTGTAAGCACCCTTCGGAACAGGGGTTGACACACACACACAGCGTCCTTGTTCCTAGTAGCGATGCCAGGAGCCCCTAGTAGCATCCGGGTTCCTAGCAGTAAGACCAGGAGCTACTAGTACCAAGAGAACTAGTTTTTCACATTTGACAGAATGTCTTTTTCGCAAGCTAAAGGTAGAGTTGATGTGACCATGATGTGAGGGGGTCGCATCGCTTGAATCGCAAAGGAAATAGTGCTCCCAGAAAAAGTTGATGTGACGTAGTGCCTTCACTGTAGGGAGGCCATCGCTATTCCTAGTATGGCATTCTGTTCTTCCTGTTTGTTTTGCTTTCTATCGCCTGTACACCTTGAGACCTTTAGCGGATAATTGTGCTTTCTTTCTTTGTCCTCTTCGGATTCCTTAGGAAGCGGTCTTTTGTTTCCCCAAGTGTTGGGCTGTTCGGGTGACTTTCGTGACCTGCTGAGCCTCAGGTGCTATGAGGGCGTCTTATTCTGCTCGCAGCGCACGGAAGTTGCCGACAGCTTGTCGCCGGCATCACGTGCCTGGGGCTTGAGTATGCTTGAGTCACTTGAACAGAGAGGACTGTTCCAACAAAAAGGAAAAAGACGGAAGGAAAGAAAGTTCCAAAGAAAAAGAGAAAGGAAATTGATGAATTATTCAAGTAACAATGAATGCTTTTGGAAAATCTAGCTTTAGTGCATTTGGTTGAAATCGGAACCATTTGACTTCCTTTCTGGCTTCCTAGTGGACTACTGGCTAGACCAATGACATAAGTGCCAGAAAGTGCTAGCTTCCTAGCTTTTACGATTCCCTGGCTAAATCGCCTCAAAGCAGCCTAGATGTCTATCGACCCTTTATCCTCCCTGGCTCCCTGGGAATTGCAGAGTTCTTCTCACAAATGACGTGGACAGCACACATCTTTAAAGAAATCAAAGGAACGTTCAAACCTGACCCTTGCTTTCGCTTGCTTTCCCTCGTGTCGATGCACCACAAGAGCCGCTGGTCCAAGGTGGAGCAGGCTTTGCACAGGAAACTCCGGAAAAATTGGAAGTTCCTACTCATGAAGCAGGAGACAGAACATAGTACGTTGTTTTTCTTTCGTGCGAGTTTGCTTTTCTAATTTGAACGTGCTGAATGAGACTTCTGCGTTTGCCAGGAGCTCCAGGAGCTCTACTGAAAGGGTAAGATGTACTTGAATTCCCAGCGTACAGTGCAGGTTTTGCCCCTAGCGCTGGCCATCTGAAGCAAGTGTACAGAGCAGGCATTCAGCGGCCATGTCGCAAGGGGGGGGAGTCCCCCAAGTGGAAAAGCCCTTAGCTTGTGCAGTGCGGAAAGAACGTGTAGCTTCTCATATTCCGCCTGAAGAGATTGCCCGCCGTTGTTCCAAACCAACAGTGATATCCCGTGTGGCAAGGAAAACAACGCGAGGCTCTTCCCCGCACACTAGCAATAGATTTTGAACTCTAGCAGCTCTTGCAACTAGCGACAAGAACACGTGTGTTTCTTCTCGGTGTTCTTTGTTGCCTTCAAGGCCGTTCTTCCTTTCTCTTCTCAGAAAGAATGCAAGACCTATGGCCGCACATAGGGGCTTTTCCCAAGCTCAAGCACCTCACCTGGTGCCATACAGGTCGAGGTCGGCCAAGTTCGCTGTGCATGGCTTGCTTGGAACAACATGCAAGTTTTGCTCGTCACCGGGATCCCAAGGTACTGCTCTACGATACCGACCAAAATGAGCATTCACAGCCACTCCTCATTTGTTCCGACCAGATTCGAGCCTTGCTCCTTTGGGGCGGAGATCCCCTGACCCGGAGCAGGCAAAACATGCATCCGGAAGCGAGTCTGCAAAATTGCTTGATTCCATTACGTCAGGGGCTTGCCCAAGACGGACACCTTTGAGAGCAAAGATGTTCCGTTCCCATTTCTGACCCTTTTCAACTTGCTACGTGAGGAGTCACACGAAGAGTCGCTGGAGTCTCAGACGTGGCACAAGACATGGAGGCAGACTCTACACTTTGTTGGGATTCATCGGACCGGATGGCGTGGAGCAGACAACTGGAGCGGTTTCAAAAGTTGAGCCTGAGCGCGATGTTTTAAGCTAGAAGCTACTTGTAACAAGTGCATCGCTTCTAGTAACAAGTGCCTTA